GCTTACAATCGTTTTGTATGAACTATAATTATAAACAACTTTTAAAATACCCGAAATCCGTTATCGTGTAATCTCGTGTCCTACTAATTGCGGTCGAATAAAATATTATTGTGTGACGTGTATGCTCTATACTTATATTCATACATTTATTGTCATTATATTTTATCGATAACGGCAACGATTACGAAAGTCGATAAACAGCAAACGTGAAGACAACACTATATTATATTATTATAGTATTGTACTATTATGTTATGCATTATTATTTATTACAATTAAGATTAGAAAATATGACATATAGTTAATAGATCAAACATGAAAAACACGATTTTTCGGCCATGGGGGGGGGGGGGTTTGAACCCCCAAAACCCCCCCTTGCGCACGGGCCTGGTATTATGTAGGTAGTACCTATATACATATATTTAAGTGCAAATTATTTTTTTCTTTATTAATAATATTTATTTAAGCGATTTCGAAAACAATGAGTGTCACATTTTAATATATTATGATATTACTTAATAGAAAGTAGAAATTGCAAGTTATTTTCGAATTATTTGAAGGAATTATAATTTGAATATGTACTTATCAGGTATCAGTTATAATTATAGACCATATTGTATTCATTAATTATAATAATTGCATTATTAAAATGTATTACCTTGGAGTCGACATCAATAAACGACTTGCGTTTACCTCACATATTAAAATATTATAACACCATAGTAATTATTAATAATACTCTTCACTTAGACTTCAAACGATTACCCGCTGTCACCAAACTAGCAAAGCTCCATTAGAAACTATCCACTAACAAACTTACTCACTATTACAATCTTATCAGTTGTCACCCAATTACCATCAGCAACAATCCCAAGAGATAGCCAAAAAGACAAAAGTGTCAAGACCAGCTTATCTAAAATAAGAAGGTAGATCACTATTAGTATCTAATCATTATTATAGTATTATATTATAATTTATATTAAATGATAAAGTGGCTTCACTGCAGGACTTCTTCACTCTCCGTCTCCGTTATTACATGTCATATTTTCTTTTATATATTACCTCATTTTAATCTTACTGTTGAATTATGTAACTGATGGGCCTAATATAAGAGTTTTGAAAATAAAAATTTAACTCATAAAACATAACACTCCTATTAAAACCATGACTTGAAAAAATACGTTTTTTTTTCTGAAATAATGTCTGATAATAATATGTTTGATTTATTATAGTATTATGAGTATAATAAAATTGTGAAGAAATACATAGTGCACTCGCGTGAATTTTTTTGTTGTTTTACAGAAGGAATTAAGTTCTGTTGTAAATTGAAATTCGTTTCATATAACTCCTAGTAGGTTGTGCACATGTGCATATTTTATATAAGGTACCTAAAAAATTCACGATGTTACACATATGCATATTGTTATATCGAATAATATTTTATTGGCTCGTTTTAATATTATATTATTATCATTTGTAATGGATCTCAAAATTATTATTATTATTTATTATTGCCTTCTTGGACTATCTTCAGGCAATTGTGTGACAAACATTTGGCATTATTTTTTTGGCTGAATGATTGCTTATTCTAATTATATTATCTTTTTTTCTGACAACATATAACAATTTTTGGATTTTTGTTATCTTGG